ATTCATGGAAAAAAACTAATTGGAAATTAATGTATGATAAGAGCTAGAAAATGTTTGAATTCATGGACCGGCTGACACAGGGTTCCCRACTGCAARCAAATTGTTGATTATTAGTCCGTCGGCGTACAGAGGCAATCATATTGATTTCAATTCAAATMTTTTCTTCKYATATYTCTGTATTTTTTAACCCTAAAAATTGTGTAAAATTGACTGCGGCAGTGGACCAGCAGGTGCAGCTGGAAGTGTAGGTAATTCAAGTACTTCTGGAGGAGCTTGTCTCACTTGGACAATAGTCTCCCATGTGATGTCCCGCTCAGCCCCGTACTTGGTTACCAGGAGGCGTCGAATGTGBCAGGCGTCTTCTTGAATCCTAACGTCTGGAGGGTACATCAATCCCAGATCGCTTCGATAATGCGTGCAGAGGAACGTAATAATCGTGTTAGGCTGCCGAAATTCTGCCAACTTAAAAACCCAAGTATAGTCAGTCGAGCGAATCAGCCTTTCCCTTCTATTCCCTTCTGATGAGACATTCGTCTTGATATTCATGGATCTAAARCCCAACTCATGCATGAGTCTATACGAGGCCGGTTTGAGACTCCTATACTGATATTATAGCATACTATACTAGCATAATCCAGTTAACCTTTGCAAGGAAAGATTCGCTTTTCAATGATACATATCTCAACCTCTGGCCAAGGTTGCCTGACAAGGCACCCACACCTCATAACCCATGAACCGACTAAAATTCTTTTGTAATTAACCCTCTTGGTTGCATATACCTGCATCTATGGTCAAGGGGTTATGACGTCAAGAATGCTCATTTTGTATTGTCATGGACTTAATCTAAAGAGGCCAGAACAATTTAATTGTTCCCAAATTAGTAGTACGGCTGCACGAACTAGAAATTTGTGAATATAAAACAATTGTAGTAAACTGTCCTCAATGTTTGCAACCGCTCTATGTATTTTAAAATTTTGTACCCTTTACTAAGTTTGAATCGACAGTAAGATGCAATTGCCTCATTGTTCACATTATGACGTCRCGATATCTGTGTAGCCTAACGAGATATTAGTCAMCACCTGATTTACAGGTGSACAATCGTTAAAAGAGATTTGACATAAAAGTTATTACATTTATGGTTAATGTTATTACATTTATGGTTGGTCTCGATTATTACATTTATGGTTAAAAGTTATTACATTTATGCTGGGTATTACATTTATGGTTGATTTTATTACATTTATGGTGGGTATTACATTTATGGTTGATTATTACATTTATGGGTGATACAGTTTCAAGCATAGGTTTCATCAATTTATTAAGTCATTCAAGACTGTCGATTCTTTGTTTTTTATCTCTCTCAATCTAACTGCTAGCATGGTCTTGGTTTCAAAATGTCCACACTTTAAGTCGACAAAAGAACTTCCCATAGATCACTGCTTTTTCCCATATTGGTCCATATTATTGAAGTATTTCCAATAAAGTATCATCTCTTCGCATAGATCCCTGCTTTTTCCCATATTGGTCCATATTATTGAAGTATTTCCAATAAAGTATCATCTCTTTCTTGTTGTCGAAATATCAAAGTAAAATCCTTTTTTCTTACATCACTTTTAAAATGGGCCTAAATACGCTTGAAATAAATTACTTTTCATCTTCGCAAATCTATTTCCCGGATGTGCGGACGCGTCGAAGTTATGACAAAATTGTCGGGAATATTTTTGTGCTGTTATTTCGCTCTTCTGTGGATTTTTTGCTTGTGATTAATTCTTCTAATATTATCAATATGGAATATAAATATGTAAGGAAAAACTTTCGATTTTTCAGCAAATATTTGGCGTTTTTTTTTCCTTTTCGAGCGGAGTATGGGTTTCCTGTGGTGGTACACGCACTCCAGGAAGGAAGGGCGGAAGGGCGGAAGGAAACGTGCGTACGTGCGGAAACCCTGTGTCGGTCCATAAAAAATCGACTCGATGGTATACCATTTTTTCTTAGCTATGGTGCTCCGCTCGGGAGCTCCGCTATGGAGCAAAAGGTATGTTTTTAGTGCATGCTAGCTCTTTTGAGACAAACAGACTCTGACTGTCTTAACTCCGAATCATAGAATTTGTTTTAATTTTCTTGTCCATAAAGCCAAAACCCCTCTAGTGCTTTCGCATCTCACTGATTTTGAATTGACTATTTACAACGGACGCAATAAATATTTAAAAAAGTACATTTTGCATCAATGATTTCGCTTTACATCGCAATCTCAGTGCTAGGGTATTTGTTGTCGCACACCATTTTTAATTGGATTTTATTGGATTTCCCTATAAAACCCATAAATGAAATCCGATCTTCACAAAATTTACTCAATATGAATTTGACGATCTGACGAACTTAAAATACTTTGACCTGTTTCTGTCGTCCCGGTCAGTGTTCGAAACGACTGTATCCAAACACCTTAATTAAATGATTGAATATATTTTAAAAAACACAGATCGGTAGTCTTTTATGTTCTTCCTTTAATAAAATATCTCAAATCTAAAAATAGACAGGTCTATAAAAACTCTGTTTCTAAACCAAATTCACATCATAGATCGAAACTAACATGTTTTCACTAGTGAAAATAACACTTTCCAGGTTTCTTTTTATATTGGAAGTAAAAAAAGGTATTTTAATTGCTTTCATTGCAACTATATGATACGATTTTTATCTTCTCGTGTTGAACATCTCTATATTCACTTTCTTTTTAGCTGTAATCATTAATGAGTGCTCATTCGCCAATGGGGTCTGCAGTTGGCTAAATACAGACAATGTAACCTGTTGGGAAATGTCAACTGATATAAACGGTGCGTAAAATCAGTTTAATTTAAAATAGGTAAATTAAAACGATAATAAGAAGAGAACACGCAATTAGTTATTTGCTTGATAATGACACAGATACCTGATATTCTACTCATGATGGTGATAATGATGAAGATRATGAAGAGATCATTGTTTTATATCGACAGACGAAGYATTCCCCTTTGTAAAAGTGGACAAAAAGTGCAGATCTACATTGAAGAGTAATAATCTTCCTTGGAAACCGTACCAAATGAATACCAGTCTTTGCATTCAGTTTTCATATCGCATGTCTTCTGAAGGATCACTTTCAGTTGTACGTTACAGCAATGCCGGCGAAGAAAGGCTTTGGAATCTGACAGGTTATCAGGGATCCGCTTGGCACATAGGACGTGTTGAACTATCAGGGATTAGTATACAGAAGGTAAAGGTTTTTAGTAATTTTATAGATTCGAAATATACATGTATATAGAGTTGTTAGTTACTATTTTGAAGTTACTATTTTGAGAGAAAGAGCAAAAAAAGAAAATTTCACAAATTGCGCACGGTTTTGAGTTGCACGTCCTCTTATTGACACACTCTTGACGTCATAAACAAAACTCAAGTTTACATATTTTGTATGTCTTGCGCCAGTACCGGTCAGCGGTACCTTCTGTTTTACCCACGTGACCGACCGGCGGTCGGCCATCTTGCTTTTTCGCTCGATTAACTTCGTTCATGTTCTCATTTAGTTAGCTAGTTTTAGCCTTGATATTAAACCTCGTGGTTCAGTGTATTGGTCTGTCTTTATTACTAACTGGCGT